TCGCCAGGTCCTTCAGTCGACCGTCGCGCGCAATTATATGAGGAAGAAATCAAGTTGTCCATGCTTCGACAGCAGCTGGCAATAGAAGAGTTGAAGCTCATCGTGATCAAAAATGATTTGGCTCGAGCTCAGTTAGAAAGGGAAACTATCGCCACCGAAAGGGAGCGTTTCGAGTTGGAGAGAGCAAGACAAGTAAGTAGGGTATATGCAAATTTTAGTGATCCATGCTGCGCTGTTTAAGAAGGTGCAGTAGAAGAGATAAGTTGCTCCAAATTTTGGAATAAACCGAACTGACCGGAACCACTCAGCCATGACCAGGGGGTAGCGACGATAAAACAAGGATCTCATCTTTTCAAGTCGGTCTTCCAGACTAGCGCTTGCGTTCCAGTTAGTGAACCTAAAAACTTTGTAAAAATTGTATGGCTTGTGCTTAAAATTGCATACCATTGCGCATCGGGTAATGGATCGCCTTTTTCTTCAAAAAGTGGCTGAAGTACGCCTCGGTAAGGGGTCAAATTAGGAACCCATTCCACTATTCCTCCTGCCTCCTAAATGAAACTTTTCAGGATCAGTATGCTGAAGAACTAAAACTATTCAGTATAAAACAAGATCTTGCACGGGTACAATTAGAACGAGAAACAATCGCATTAGAGCGCGAACGATTGAAGCTGCAGAGAGAAAAAGAAGTGAGTTTTTAAAACCGCACTTTTTTTGCTTAATCTGAAAATCTAGTGTATAACATAAACAGCATCTGGCAAATATTATATGTCTACTCTTTATCGGTGTTTCTGCATGATAACTAGGTCTAATCAGTACGCGCTGACCAACTGATTAGACGTCTCTGAGTAAACCATAAAGAAATCACGGTGATTAAATTATGAAAGGTATTGAGAAAACCTTATGAAAAAACGAGTTATGTTTTTTGTAACAAACTAAAGATGGATCATTGTAAGTATAGGTAATGTTGACCAATTTTTCTAAGGAGGAGCAAAGTGAAATATAACACCTCTTTTAAAAAATGGTGCTGATGAACCTGACATAGTAAAAACTGTGGCAGACTTATTTTTGATGTTATGAGGTAGCGCGCATAAGATGGTTCTCCTATTAAAGGTGCAGGATTGCTGCTTTCTGATCAATTTTAA